ATTTTATTTTTTAATACATACATATTGTATTAAAAAGCGTACATATGATGGATTGTGTACCTTATCTGCATATCTATGTATTTTATACTCAATTACTGTTATTAATGAAATAATATAGGCACATGTTATGAGTATATTGATTTAATAAAACGTTAATGAAATAATTAAACTATCAAAGTGCGCTGAGATTAACGTTTATCTGTATTTTGCCTATTTGTTGCATATGTCTAAAAGTATTGTAATTCTGCGAAATCCATCTGAAAAATATTAAATAAATCTTTATAATATAATATATTTATTATAGTATAAATATAATATACCAAACAATACAGCTGTAAAATCTCAAATTTTGTCATGTCATAAAAATCAGAAATATTTGGTTTAACAAAAAAGTGTATTTAATTATATACGTTGATATTAAAACCATTTTTCTCATACATTAGAAAAGATCTATTATGGATTATATACCGAAATTAAAATCATTAGGACGGACAAAGCTCCGCTATGGATCTGAAAAAAAATGCTTTCATTATACTTAATGATAATATTCATATTAAATTGAGAACAATTAGTATAAAAAGATTTTAAGTATGTAAATTAACAATGAAAAATGTAAAAATGCAGTCAATTGAGAAATGACTTCAATATTATGTTGTTGATTAGATATTTATATTATTTACAAAATTAAATGTAGAAATATTTATTCTATTATATACAGGGCCGGCAACTTATTTCGCCTGTCGGTGTAAAATTTTTGACTGATGAAAAAAGGGGATGGGGGAGAGGGAGAAGGAAGAATACAAAATCATCGTTTTTTTATGTACTCTTTATTGCCGACCCCATTTTTAATATTGCGAATTGCGACGCTCGATTCGATAAAGGATCATTTATATTAACTGCAACCCTATGCCATAATTTGTAAGAATTGATTAATCACATTCGAGTATTCCTCTCTCATTCTACTGTAAAAGAGAAATGCTTGATTGCGATTAGTCAATTCTTACAAATAATGCCATACGATTATGTTTGTATACGTATATGATCTCTAAAAGTTGAACCTCTGTTATATGTGCAGTTATACTGTCGAAAATTGCAAAATGGTAGAGGACTTTCCGTCTCAGTCCGCTCTACATGTCCATGAACTCCGTCAGAATTATCGGACACCCTGTATATGCTTATACTTTTAATAAATATTGGACGTACCTGGCAAACGGAACTATATCCAAAGTGAAAAGGTCCGATGCCAAATTTTACTTCCCTTAGTTTTATTTGCAATATAAATTGGAAAATCTGATTAAAATAAACAATTGAATAAACGTTAGATATACACTATCTTTTACAAAAATTTAGATATTAATATAAATTCTATTAAATGGCCATATAAAAAATTAAGACATTATTATAAATCATCAATTATGTTACATTGTTAGATATCAAAGGAGCAACCTAATCTCTCTTAAGTTAAATAATATTTTATTATTTTTAACTTTAAAAAAAAAAATATATATATGTGTGTCAAATTCAATCAATTTTTCAGTTTCAAAGTGTAAACAGCGTTTATATTAATAAATGATTTGATACAAATTACAAATATTTTTTTGAGTTACATCATACAGCTTTAGTGTTTTACAATTAGTTAAGTTAACATAGTGAAAAAAATCAGTGGCGATCTATACAAACGATTGAAAACAACTCAAATATAATTGATCAACGTTACAAATTTAACAATGTATTCTTTTATATATTTTAGGCTACTTATACATATATAGTATAATCGATAAATTTTAAATATTCAGTCTCGGCATATAAAATAAAAAAAAAATTTATAAAGCTTTTTCTAGCTTCTATATCCTTAGCTATAATGTTAGTATGTAGTGTACACGAGTATTCTAAAATATATAAGGATTTAATACAATTTTCGTTTTATAATGTCTCAATATTTACATAATTGTTTTATAAAATTTATATATGTATCCAAACTTTCATGAGCGCTAGTAAAATTACGCATAGAATAGTTAAAATTTTATATAATATTTTATTGTAATTATTTACCTGCTCACCCAAGTTCTCATCGAGATTATAATTGGATAATTTGTGAAGAATTCTTATTGTCTCGTTTATCTGAAATTGTTTTTATATAGTATGATTTCATTAAACAATTGTACGCGATTGCGAGTTGGCATTTCGATTAAGCGTGATAGACGTTGCGGGTTGCGATTTATTGTACAAGATTTCACTTTCATATGGCGCAACTGAAGGAGGAATTCGTCTAACGAACCGTATACTTGTAAGTTACGTAGATCTGCATAAATGAAGACTTAATATGCATGGATTATATGTTGCCCCGTTTATTTTATTAATTCGAATTGATTCAAAATATATTCAGATTATGCTGCAAAAATGTAAAGGGCTGAAATATTACTATTACATCGATGTATGCGGTAAAATTCATTACATATCAAATTAGAAATAGAATTTATCTAAATATAAAATTATAGTAATTAACTTAAATTATAATTTCCGGTTGGATTAATATTTCAGTTCTCTTTACTTTCTATATTTTTACACCTGTTTGGAGTAACTCTGCCTAGTGTTGCAAAATACTTGTAATAAAAAAAAACCACGAATTCGTCGGAAGGAAAAAAAGATTTACATTAAAGCCTGCTCAATCTACGTAGTAAGTTGCGTAACTCACACATACAAATGATTCCTCTCTGCGAATCGCTATATATTTTTAAGAAGTTACAGGAAACTGACTTCAAACTTGATCTTTATGACTTTCCAATGTAAATATCAAACTGGACATTTTATATATTTAGTGATACGTTTTGATTTTTACGGTTCTGCGAACCTATGAGTTTCCGTACATGACGCAATTGGCACGATTGTCCGGTGTTATGGCGTTTTGGGATCACAGCGCGGCCCACGAATTATGCGTTATCAATTAAATTAAGATTAGTGGTACCATACCCACTCCTCATTCGTTCCTCTTTGCTCGAGCGTGTGCGTAAGAAGCTCTGAATTACAAGTGCATTGTCTCGCAGACACCGATTACAAGTTCCTAATTTCGCTCGTTGGAATCACGCGAGGAAGATATTTCTGTTTGAAGGCGTTTTCGTCATCAGCGAGCGATGGGATTTCTCGCATTATCGCGATACGTCCTGATCCTCATATCTTTTCGAAAAATATCTTCCCCAAGAATCCCAAAACATCCCCTAACTCTACTGTATCTGTTAGACTCTGTACCATTACTGCATGTCAACCGTCAATAATACCGTCAACTATATACATTATACATGCTAGCAAAAATGCTGTACCATACGTTACGAAAATTAAGAAAAAGAAAAAAAAACGAAGTAAAGTGATCGCTATGTAATAAATCATACCGGCAGTTCCCTTAGTGCAGCGGCCGCCTTTCCTACGACGACACATATCATACCTGTTTTGCGGAATAAAAATCGAGAGTATGAAATCATCAGAGAGAATAAAACGTAAGATTTATAATAAACATTATCGTAACGCAAAAAAGAGAAACGAGAGAGTATCGAAGTTAATTATTGAATGCTTCTACGTGGAATTCAACATTCATTTACGATGTATTCGCGCTTCTCTCATTTACGTCGTGTAAAGTTAGTGAATGCTCGTTGGATTGACAAATAAATGAAAAGTATGGATCATCAGAGAGGTTATCGTTTTCTGGCAGGCACTTTCGTGACTTGCCGTCAAATTACAGCACTGCACGTAGGCCGTTTTACGGATCGGGCACTCTTACTTTGTGACAGCGACGGCAATGTCGTATACAGGAAGTCTCCTCTCCCGGAAAAGATATTTGCCCATGTCTGTCAGAGCGGCTGCCGAGTCAATTGCGTCTCTTCCCACGCGATTCCTTTCTAAATACGGTGTCGCGTCTCGTCCCTGAGTATAATACAATTGATCTTATTTATATTTAGATGCACCTGCAGCTTCAATCTTCAAAGATCGTTTTTTTTTCTCAATAATTATTAAGTTTGATAAGTAGAGCTTACATATTATTTTAAGAAAAGATCTGTCGATGTGTAGATTATAATATATGTATATAAACTAGGGTATTAATTTTACTACTGTCTCTTACACGTGAAATAATTATTCCCGCTATACTGATACGTATTTTTGGCCCCTTCAGTAATTTGTACCTCAGATCAACTCCGTTCCAAAAGGACACGAAGTATCTCTTTATCTGCACGTTATCGCCACCGTGCAATCTGAAAAGAGAAGATCCGTTTCATCATTGAGAGAAGTGAGTTAAGAGAAATTATAAATGTCACTGCAGATACACGGAATATTCGTATAAGGAAAAATAACAGTTACGGCCTGTATATACTCGCGCTTCACAAAGATGATATTAGTTGACTCTCTCTCTCACCTGTACCCATCGTAATCCACAATACAAAGGATTTCCGGGTAAATGACGTACGGTGCTTCGCGTCTCGATCTGCTATTAATCGAGCGCTTAATCCTATATCTCTTGACTAAGCGATCTGGTTCCATAAGCGCTGAAAACATTTGTATTTATATTTGCAGTCTTAGGATTTTTTTAAAATCAATTTTTAAACTGCCAACTCAAATAAGATCGAAAGTGAAAGTTTCGACGTATATTCCACTCACAAAAGTCACTGTACTCGTCGCTGATAGGTCGATCCATTTTCCTGAAAACGATATGATGACTTGTGTGTTCCAAGTCCTCGCTATTAGTTATGTTGGGCAGTAGTTTGGGTTCGTAAAGAGTTGACGCTTTGCTCACTACTTCTTGCAGAACCCGTTCTGGCAGTGGCCGGATAACTAATTCTGAACCGATGGTTCCATCCTGAACGAAAAGATGTACACTTAATTAATCACGTAATTAATTATTCTATTAAACAAACATAGTCATTCATCAAATGAGTATAGAATCAAGTGTCATGGGAATGTCCGACTTCGGATTACAAAATTTTATTTTAATTCGATGCAAATTAAAAAAAAACTTATTTATATGCATATTATGTCTCTAATTTATTATTTTTAATTAGTAATGAATTTGATTAGTACTTTTTTAATTAGTAATATTTTAGATGTAAAGCGAAATTTTGTTCTTAATATTCTCTTTCTTTCTTCTTTTTTGAAGGCTGTAATGTCAAAATATCATCTCGAGAAATGATTCAAGCGACTAGCTGATTATATTATATATATAATATTCAAATAGTTTACATTCAAATGTATCGCAGCATAAACTTTCTCGTAATTAACAGTGACTATAATTGTACCTAATAATAGTTTTTCTAAACGTTACTGCGATGTGTTTAACTGATAAATATAAAACATTTCTTCTCCTATATAAACTTTGCAAGTAAAAAGTTAAAACATAATAATAATAATAAATCAAGAAAAATATGACGTGAGAACAAACATTGTGTAATGAACAAACTTGAGCAAAGAGATTAAAAATTAATAATCCCGCCATATAAACTTCGAAACGATTCGAAGTGATTAATCTTAAGTTTGATCGCTGAAACACACTCTCGGTGTGTATAAACACTATAAACCGGGCCCAATACCCATAATTATTAGACGACTCATGCCTGCTCTCGAGTCTCTCTCCGAATTGTGCAAGATTTGAATAATACTGCAAATATCGCGGTATATGAATCACGGCGCGTTAGTTGAGGGGCATGTTAAATCGAGCGTTTCCATCCAAGTCGGGGCGCCGAGTATACGTTTTACGGCGAGTTGAATTTACTCGGTATTCCCGATCTGGACTCGATCGCGCCGCTCGATCTGCAGTCTGCGAGAGGTGCACTGGTCAGATCTCGAGAGAGGGGGAGTGAAAGCGAAAGGTCAGGCCAGCACGGGGTCACTTAGAACAACGCTTTTACGACGCGTTATGTAATCAGACCGGCATTATGTATACGTGACCGCGCTTGGACGACATATTATATGTCTTTGTCTTCATTAAAATTTCATTGAAACTCCTACGCGCGAAAATCACCGTCGAAGCCGTCTGAGAAATCAATTCCGTCCATGGATCCATCGGATCCCCTGAGTGAACGAGAGGTTTTTTTTCTTTTTTGTGACCTAACAATTAACTTTCACGACTCCCGCAAGATACAACGCGTGATTGTAATGTAATATGTCCGTGCTCTCGCCCGCGCACCAGTTATATTACTCGTATTTGCATCGCGAGTAATGATCTCGCGCGTAATAGCGCAATTTAGATCGTCCCGACCTTTCGGATAAAGCATGCGGACGTGCAACGCACGTAGCGTGGTTGCTTGCGAAATTCAATTCTGTTTCGCTGAAGAAAAAAAAAGAAACATCAGGAGTAACAAGCAATTAAGATTAATTGAGAAGTGAAGGGACAATCAATTGGTGCAATCAACTTGCCTCATTTTTAATTTATGTATAAGAATTTTCTTCGTATTATTTTCTAATTCTTTTTTTTTTAAGTCTTGCCCCTTAATACAAAAATTTGCATCCTCAACATTTTTTTGAAAAGGCTTTTTCTAAGCGTATGAGAATTTACATCGCATTCTATTCTTCAAAAACTTAAGCTTAAAGTTTGCAATCTTGTAACCTCTCCTCGATGGAATCGCGAATATAATTATCATATTTAGTGACGTGGATAAATCTCGAAGATTTCACGAGAATTATACGTGATAAATGCTAATACGGGGAAAATATCTCATACAGCTGATTCCTTCTTAGAGGTGCAATTAAGAGAGCTTTGTAAGAGAAATCAAGTCACGCTTGTTTAAACGCGAAATTATTAGGAATACAACGGTTCCTTCGTTCTCTCTCTCGAAATTGCAGACTGCGGCGAAAGGTAGGACGCATACAAGTTTATTGGCTTCTGTCCCGTAGACACAATACCCTTCACGCGAGACTTCGTTCTGACTAAGGCGAGAAAGACGTCGATTGCGAATATAAGAAAATGTCAAAACCATGGCATCACCATGGTATTTAGGTAACTTTCATGCCGCAGCGGTATACATAACGACATCATTTGATTCAAAATTATCTACACAATGGACTGTAAAATTATAATTTCATTATAATCTTCATTGTAGTCTTTTCAAAATTAAATGAGGAATAATATTATTACGCTTATTTCGCAGAAAGATTTGTTTCTTTCGTCATTGTTTAAAATAAAAAGAGTATTATAAACGCCTTCAACAAGTTTTTCCACAAGATTTCATCTCAGATTTAAGCAAGCGATGCGACTGCTTGCTAAATATACGGCTAGCCTTACTCATCTGCTAGAACAGTTTACGACTATTTTGTGCGGATAACAAAACTTGGTAGATGTCCATAAAATATAGACGCCATAACTCACGATGGAACAACGTATTCGATAGAACAACATGCCAGACACTCGTTCTAACATTTTAATTACTTGTAATAAATCTCCATTGACTCACGCATCACAAATCTCATGCGATTCATCGTATACGCGATCACTGAATTTCATTCCCGCTTGATTATGAATTGTTCTTGCGGTAAAATAAACAATTTAATAAAATTTAAAAACCCAAAAGAGAGAGAGAGAGAGAGAGAGA